CTCACTATTTTCAGAGAGGGAGTGGGGGTAGGCTCACTACTTTTAAAAGGCTCGCTTCTTTCGGGATTTATTAGTGGCCATAATTTTTTGACATTACTTTCAGAAGGTTGCTACCTTCAAAAGTTTACAGTATATACATGTACTCATCTCTCTTTCATCATGCACACAGTCTCCCATACATGGGAGGGCCCATATATGGCAGCCATTCCATGCAACTGCGACTTGTTACAATATAAAAACAAATGTGCACCACAAGTAAAGAAATAAAACAAACAACTTCATCTAATGAGCTAAGACATAAAATAGCAAAGCTGACAAACCTGCTTTTAACTTCAATGATAGGAATTACAATTTCAAGCAGGCACTTCACATGACTCACCTGTCTCTTTTTCTTTTCTTTGATGTTGACTTGTCTCCTGAAAAAGTTGTTTATTATTACCAAAATACTCTTTCTTTTGTTAATAAAGAACAGTCTACAGACTGTCAGGAGAAAAAGTCCAAGTAGTCACAAAGCAAGTCAATACTTTTTAAAGACTTGTGAACACTAATCAGAGCTTGTACCCAGCATCATGTTATTATAACAAGATCAGAATTGACATAATTGATTGTACAAAAAAAATGCCCCTTTGGTTTGATTGACTACAAGATGAACCAAACAAGAGATGACACAAGTGAAATAAACACACCTTTTGATGATAGGTCTCTGCAAACAGCATCTAACTGATTTAAAAACAAGAATAGGGTAATGTTTGAGATAACATTAATAAATGTGCTTCAAGGTGGAGCTGGAGTTCTACCAGCCTTGTAACAATGTGAGAAAGCGATGAAGTGAATATAAAATATCTGTAGTTAAACACTGTTAGATGGTATTCTTTTTTTCGAGGGAGCGCATGTGTGCCACAAGACAACACAGATTTATAAACAGCAAAAATGATTTTATCTTACAGGCTCTCACCTGTTTATGTGATTGCATTATTCAAGTGAGAAAATATCATCTATTCTGCATTAATGGCTACATTTGTATTCTTGAGTAATTCTGAATGTCTGAGATTTCAGTAGGAACTAAATATTAGAAATAACTTTAAGTTCCTCATCTTCCCTGATGTCTCTGTACTAAGAGTTTCCAAAGCTACTGTGAACAACATGACCCAGAAACATGTCATCATCACTACAAAATGCCATACCTTTAAATGATCTTTTGTTGTGACTATTGTACATTGCTTTCCATCTGGTGATGTCCTATGTTTAATACTGGAAAAAAATTAATGTCTTAGGATTCATTTTTTTAGACTAAATAATTTAATTGTTTAAAATAGCCAACCTACATGTACACAATGTAAAATCAAGAGTGAATAAATCATGTGTCACAAAACAGGAAATTTGTTATAAAGATAAATTGATCATACACTTAGAAATGTGACAAATTTCTGTTTGTTATAATTTCTACTTATCTTGGGTGAAATAGTTACAATTATACATTATGCCACTGAGAGCAAGGAAATGACTTAGGTTTAGGGTTAGTGTCACACCAGCCAATATTTAAGAAATAGGAAACAAGTACCATGTTTCAACACCTTCTGGCGACCCCGAAAGCTAGACTGAAAACATATGGAGAGAGAGCATTTGCTGTGGCGGCACCAAGACTATGGAACTCGATCCCACTTGAACTAAGATCCAGTAGTTCGATCGACATTTTTAAACGGCATTTAAAAACATATCTTTTTAAACAAGCTTTTTAACTCTTTTAATTTTTAGATTATTTTTTTATTTTTTTTTTCCCCTCCCCTTTTTTAGCTTTTTAAATATTTTTTCATTTAATGTAAAGCGCCATGGACAAACAGTGGATTGGCGCTACATAAATATTTTTTTATTATTATTATTATTATTATTATTATTATTATTATGATTATCAAGTTATAGAAACATGAGTGAAAGTTTGAGAGAACGTGAAATGCTGTGGGAACATGAGCTGCAGGCGAGTGTTTCCACAGCTTTTTCAAGTTCTGCCAAACTTTCACGAGTGTTTCTTTAACTCGTTAAAAACACGGACAACATGTTTTCTATTTCTTTTAGAAAACACCACAATGAAAAAAAGGAAAACAACTTACAAGTTAACTTTGATTATCGAAATGTAAATTCTCTTTGCTTGCGCCATCATTACGTCAACAGCTTGTGCTAGTTCTGTGTTTCTATCGAGTTATGGAAACACAACTTTTAACCAATCAGCGCACGTATTTTCTAAGGGCCGTTTTCTAAATTAAATGCAGCATACCTTATACATGAAGCTTTGGACCAATTAGATTAAGGTGGCTCAAAACAGTTTCCAGCACTTAGATTTTGATGGGTCATAATAACCACTCTTTATCGCTTGATGCTACAATCATGGTATCAAAAAACTGCCCAGTCATTGGTGAACATGTTGTTATCATTTTCATGACACAATAGGTTATCATAGCAACAGTATGACCTCCTAAAACACCCTTACTTAAAGCTTTAGGGGCTTATAATTCAAAAATAGCACAGTGAATTTTTTTTTTTACATTATCGACTTTTGGTAAGCATGATAAGACGCAACTTTTGGCAAAGTTTAAAAAAATTCTGTAGGTAGGGTTTAATACCACCTTAAATTTTTGACAATTTAAATGATTGGGCAAATTTTTGATACCATGATTACAGCATCAAGTGATAAAGAGTGGTTATAATGACCCATCAAAATCTAACTGCTAGAAACTGTTTTGAGCCCCCTTAAAGAACTGTCACCAGTGACTTTACTGGTACTAGTCTAGTCTGTGATATCTTACCTTATGAAGTCCTGAATGGCAAACTTTTGTAATAAGCTCTCTACAGCTTCATGGGAAACTCCACCCTCAGCCTGTTTGATCACAATCAAAAACTGAGATAAGTTTGGTTCATCCCCAGTGAATGAAGACTAAAAGAGAATAATTCACTAGTCCTACACATGGTTATAAATTCCTAGTACAGTGTATGTGGATGCTACATTGTACAAATTGTTGAGCAAACTCTTGTCTCTACAGAGTGGACTAGGAAAAGAAAAAAAACACACACAATACTGATATATAAACAAGTTATACACAAAACTAAGACCTGAAAAGACTATCATCAATAATTAATGTGTATCTAATTTGATATTTGGCTATCATTCACCTTGACTTACCAGCGTCAAAGGTGAACACTGAGGGATAAAGTGAGCTGTTACTCATATTACAATATTAAATTTATTCACACATATATGGTCCCACTGACACAATCTTAATCATAAAAACCTAACCTTATGTGAGCACAATCAGACAGGTTGATGCGACTAGTCAGAAAAAGCCATCTCTCTCCACAATATTAATAATCTAGTGCACAAAATTCAGAACATAGACCAAAATTTTTCTGCAACTTTTCAACAAATTAAAGTTTTGTAAAGGTGGTATAAGGAAATACTTATTGACTAAATTAGGTCATATTAGAAGAAAAAACATCTGGCTTTTGTTAATTTTCCATCAGCCTTGTTGCAAAGGGTTATAAGTCAAATATTCTCTTAGCAAGGCCTTCCTACTCAGTAAACAAGCTTATATTGTGTGGTTCCGGAAAATATCCATACCCCCCCACGGAGGATCACAGAAATTCCGAGGGGAAGGGGGGTCTGAAAGAGGTAAANACTGACACAATCTTAATGATAAAAACCTAACCTTACATGTATGTGAGCACAATCAGACAGGTTGATGCGGCTAGTCAGAAAAAGCCATCTCTCTCCACAATATTAATAATCTAGTGCACACAATTCAGAACATAGAACAAAATTTTTCTGCAACTTTTCAACAAATTAAAGCTTTGTAAAGGTGGTATAACGAAATACTTATTGACTAAATTAGGTCATATTAGAAGAAAAAACATCTGGCTTTTGCTAATTTTCCATCAGCCTTGTTGCAAATGGTTATAAGTCAAATATTCTCTTAGCAAGGCCTTCCTACTCAGTAAACAAGCTTATATTGTGTGGTTCCAGAAAATATCCATACCCCCCCACGGAGGATCACAGAAATTCCGAGGGGAAGGGGGGTCTGAAAGAGGTAAATTTCTGAAGGGGAGGGGGGTGACATGAAGGAATGTGCCGTGTCTGCAGTCTACTGTGAAAAAGTACGTTTTTGTCTACAATGTAACTATAAACAGCTGTGGCTAAATTTTAATACAATTAATGAGTTAAGTCTTGTTATTTACGGATACGGAATTTCTGAGTGGTGGGGGGGGGGACCAAGTAGAAAAATCATGGAAATTCCAGGGGGTGGAGGCAGTACCTTGAAGCCTACCTGGAACGGAAAATCCTGGGGGGTGGGGGGTCAAACTGGAAAAAAAATCCTCCGTGGGGGGTATTGATATTTTCTGGAACCACAAATTGTGAACTATGTACCTTGGATGAAAGAGAAGTTGTTAACTGCACAGAATCTACAGGAAATGTCAATGAGGGATTGCAGAGATACTCAAGAAGCTTGTTTTCCAACAGTGGATCTACTTTAACAACTTTATCTGCTTGTTTGTTCGTGACTGAAGTCTCTTCTACTGGAGCAGGTGTTACCTGTTCTGGTGGTGGTGTCGATGTACCTGTCAGTGGAATATAGAAAAAGAGGCATTTCAGAAACTTACAGTCACCCTCCTGTTTGAAAGATTAATCTTGTTTTAGCTTTTTACCCATGGTTCTCATTGAAATTAAGTTACCCTAAATGCACCAGAGTGCATTCAGCTGTGTTAAAAATTTTACAAAAACAAGATAGACATTAATTAAGAGAGACAAACAGCTGTATACTTGTTATACATGAACAAATACTTTCAATTTACAATCTCATTCCCCCAGTCTACACCAGCTTGGTAAAACAAGCAACTTGAGAGCCTGGGGGTGGGAGGGGGCGAAGACTCCCATATAAAAAAGATGGGGATGTCCATTAAACCTTTCAGGGGTTAAAAAGGCGGTTTTCATACCTCTTAGGGTGTTTAGCCTTAAAAGGTCCACTGTGGGAGCTATTGCGGTACCACTTAGGGTATTGAACCGAAAAAAGTCAGTGTCAGTTGATGTATAGTTTTAGAATTGGAGCCCCTTAGGGGTGAAAAGACATGTCAAGCTGTGGCCACAAAACATTATCTTGGTACCTGTTGGCAATTCTTTTTGAAATTTCTGACGAGCACCCCCATCCTTTTTATATGGGAGGCTTGAGAGATCAGTTAGAGGGTCAAGTTTTGATTGGTTCAAAAACAGTGAAAATGACCAGAGCTAACACACCAGGGACTTGGTTGAGTCGCATGTTTATCAGCCAGGCATGCACAATAGGCCATGTTAAATATGTCAATATTCTAACATGGCTCCGAGGCTTTCAAGACAACTTCTATATTAGGTGGTATTTTCTTTGTATCCAAGTCTCTTTTGGGAATTCAGGGACAAAAGAAACTAACCCAGTGTTTTGGCCTTCGACTTTGGCCTGGATGAAAACAACACGGAATGCGTCGAATATATTCATTGATAACCCGACCAAAATCACGCCAGTCCGGACTATCCGCGAAGCCCAGAAGCTTCCTTGCAAAAATGTTTGCTACTGGAAGTGCTAGATGTCCAGTTACAATCTTCAAAGACTTTCTGTCGCGTCGTCCTCCTGAAATACGTCCAACCGGTCCACTTTATCTGTCTTGTGTGTCGAATCCCGGCATCCTCGCAAGTTTGATACAAGCGACAGCCGATGGGATTGAACAAGCTCGACGACGTGATGAAGGAAGTTCAATCGTAAAGGTAACGGGCCACCGAAACGAGAAGTCACTGGATGACTATGACGAAGGAGATGAAAATGAGCAGCGACAGCTTTCCCACACCATCAGCCACGGCACAAACATCAATAGCCAGTTAGCTCGAGGAAACAGGTCCACTTCGGTTCATAGTAGCACCAACAGCTCCAGCAATACTTTCAACCCGTCCTCGCTCGACGCT